CATACCTCTTCAAGTTCTATCCTACTAATTATTTAAATTGATAACATCTTGTTCGTTGGAAGTATTCATAATGTCATTTTTTAAGGTAAAACAATATTCATAAAAATGTTGTCACCAAAGATATACGATAATTAAAATACTCAATTGGAATTGAAGTTATTGAATTTGTTTATAATCAAAAGAGATATCACTATCTCAAATGAAATATACTACCATTTTCAATAAACTAATCTTAGTGGATGCAAGCAGACTGATAGCCCCATGGAGGCTCAGATCATGTCTAATAACAAAAAAAAGTTCCTTTATGATCCAGCTTAATATTAAAGGTTAGCAAGTAAGATCATTTATTGAATCGTTATCAGGCCTGACATCCATTCGTCAAAGTAGTTAGCTAGCAGGTACAAACTCTAAATAAAAGCATTAAGGTAATGTTTAGTAGATTCTTAGATGAATCACAAAAAGTGTCCAGGAAAAAAGTTGTTATATACTGACTAAGCATTTGAATATCAAAGCATCCCTAAATGCTAATCATGTTAACTCAATTAAAGAGAGATGCAGGATACTGTAATTTTCATGAAGATAAACTAGTTACTAGGAAAAGTAATAAACAAATCATTAAAGCTCAATTCGGTCTAAAGAATGAACATAAAACAATGCCTTAATGTGTAAAATGACGTGTGTAAGAAATCTTTCAGAGGATTTTACCTTTATCATTACTCAGTCTAGGATATTATACTATGGTAATCTTGTTATTATATTGTCATCAATCCTACTTTCATGACCAAACTAAATTAGCTCAAGTTTAATGTTATTTCATATTGTACTAAGTGAAATATTTTACCAAAGCTCTTGAATAACCTTGAGTTCCAATTTTAGGAGAAGTGTTAGTGTATGATATATAATAGGAAATGTCCACATGAAGGTAAGCGTACACGTATGACATACGATAGCAAATGTTATACTAGGAAGAGCTATAATAGGAAAGCATCTAATTTTGGAATATGGTTTTATATCCTTATAACTTTGAATGTTTTACTTTTATATTCTTCAGATATACCTGTATATAGGCTCATATAGTCAATCAATAATAAAAAAAATAAAAGAGATTCTCCTACTCTAACAGTATACTAATTACTAAACATGCAACCAATGAAATTCATACGGAAGATCAACTGTTAAGCCTAAAAAAGCCATCCGGTTGAAAAATCAAGGTTGGTTTCAATCATTGCACGCGAAAGGTAAAAACATTGTATCAAGATAGACACAAGTATCTGCTAGCTGCTCCCTTTCTAAGAAGCTAAGCTTACAAATAAAAGAGATTTTAGTCCATGGAAACCTGGTAAATCATTACTGCTAGCTGATTAAAGAAGAAAATTAAAATCTCATTATTTCAATAAGAACAGAGAGGTGCACTCAAAAATTCTTATAAAACAAGCAGAAAGGAGGAGACCAGCTCTAGCAGAATTAAAAACTATAGCGTCTTAAAATAGCAAATTTATTTCCAAATAACTTAGTGGCTATTTGGGATCACCTTTGTTTTCTATTTTCTTTTTTATTTTAATTTAATTATAAATATGATTGTTTTTTTAAAGCACTCAAATATCAAAATTATATATAACAACGTATAATATACTAAATATCTATTTTTTTAAAAACAAAACAAAAATAAAAACGAAAATGAACCCGGACAGAATTTTAGCATCATTTGGGGCCACTCTCTATTTTTTATTTTTATTTTTTATTTTTCTACTTGTTTCTATGTTTTAATATAAAATAAAAACATAATTGAAATCTTAAACATTGATTTTTTTTTTTTTGAATATATAGTATAAGCACTTGGCGGCATTGAGCGAGGTAGAGGTGGCAAGTGGTGATTGGGATGGTTTTCATTTTTTTTATTAATGAAAATACCTGGAAAACATAAAAAAAATTGTTTCAAGTATTTTGAAAAAAAAAACTGCTATTTTCAAAAACAAAAATAGTACCTGGAAAACATAAAAAAAATTGTTTCAAGTATTTTTAAAAAAAACCTCTATTTTCAAAAACAAAAAAGTAAAAAAAAAAACACAAAACAAACATAATTTTTAGAACTAAAAATAACAATTGATTACAAACAAGCTCTTAGCAAACAAGAGTTCATCAACCATGCCATCGCCTCTCATCCATGCAAACTAAAATGCCCTTTGAGAAATTCCTCTCCTAAATCTTTCAAAGAGGAAAATGTATAAATTCTTGATAAGCACCCTACATGATGCTAGCCTAAGAAAAAAGAGTTCTAAACCAAGTGATGAAATTAGCACAAACATATTTACAGTTAACAAATCAAAAATATTGAATGAAGCTGCATACCATTTTCAATCTTCATTACGCTTTGGAGCATTGTTTCCATTTTCTTCTTCATGTCGGCATTATCATCCATGATAGGAGCAAGAAGGGTTAATTCTCTGTATATATCTTGTACAAATCTACATATTTTTTCAGCATACTCGACTTCTCCGTCTGATATCCTGCCTATGGCTAGCCTCATTAACTCACCAGTCAAATCTGCAAGCTAAATAGTTGTAGAAGTTTACCTACAGGATGTTATAACTTTGGAGTACATAATTCTAATGTATTTACATATCTCACACCTAAACATCGATGTTTACACACAAAGCAATGCTATGTATGTACATATGGAAGTTTATGTGTGAGATATGTAAATACATTAGAATCTTGTACTAGCCTGCTAGGTATGTAGATTTCGCTATAACTTTATGTTGGATAAAGGGGAAGGACTACAGATTACCCCCAAGAGGTAGTCAAGGGGATTTATTTGCAAGGGTTCATCATATTGATCACTTAGTGGTAGGAGAGTAGCATTAATCTCATTGAGATCTAGAAGAGACCCGTTCCTGCAGAATCTACAGAATGTTGCGGCTTCAACATATTCCTGAATCTGTAAAACCCCCATAAAAAGCCAATTTTAACATCATTAAGAAATAAATTATACTCTTTTTGCAATTCTTTTACTCACAGCAAATGTATATGCACGCCTAAGCTTCCAAAAATCATTTCCTTGCAATTCTTTTACTATTCTTGCCATAAACTGGTTAGTCACGGCTGCCAGATCCTTTTCAGCTTTGGACAACACTTCTTCTCTATTGTCTTTGTTGGCCCTATAATAAGAAGGCAAGATTTGAACATTTTGAGCAACTGAGAAATAACAAAAGTATATCTTCGTGACTGTCATGAAACATTAATAGGAACTTCTTACTTCTTTTCCGTTTATTTGCTTGAATAGAAAAACCAGTTAATAGGTGCTTCTTACCTGTGCACTTGAAAAATGACTTTCTTGCTGTTCATTGTAACATCACGGCTAGCCTTTATGACTCTCTCACGCTTGTCATTCTTCAAAAAGAAAAGTAAAAGAAAGATGTGTAATAACAAAAAGTTTTAGCCAATAATCCTCTCTCTTTTTTTTTTTTTGCAAAATAAATAATAATCAAATAGCAATCCAGGGTAGGTTGTAAGTGACTAGGGGTGTAAACGAGTCAAACTTAACTGAAAGAGTTAATATTTGACCATGGCTCATTAATTTTTAGGGAAATTTACATAGATAGCACACAATTCTCATGTGTTTACATATATCATTCCTAAACTTTCATATTTACATATCTAGCACTTTGGTGTTTTAAACCTATGCATGAAAAATGTGTATTTCACTTTTAGAAAGTGATGATAGTGCTATTTTTTTATTTGATATTAAAGATTTGGGTGCTATGAATTTAATTATGAAAGTATAGGTGTGAGGCATGTAAATACATAAGAATTGTGTGCTATGTATGTAAATGCCCCTAATTTTTATCATTGTTCGTGTTAAGTTCATGTTCATTAGCATTTGTTACTTACCTGTTCAAGCTCAATAGGACATAATTTCAAATGTTCTGTATCTGGCCCACAAACAACTCTTTAAATTTAATGAAGTAATTTTGAACTTAACTCAAATGACTACCATCAAACAAAAATGATTTCAACTGTTATTTAACATCCATATCAACAAAATTAAATTTAAAAATTATAATTAAAAGAAAAATGAATATAACCAATTATAAAGTATTCATTTGACTCTTGTAACTATTAGACATACAACAATATATAATTTCTAAATTGAATTCTAAGAAGCCTTAGAATCTTGGACAAAAGTTTTTTTCTGTCTATCCAGTGTACACAAATAAACAAAAAATGGTCTCTTTTAAATATAAGTTCTGACATTGAATTAATATTAGTTACTACTTCAAAATTCCAATCTAAACACAAATGTGTAGTTGTGTAATCACAATATCACGTGAAGTTCCATTAATTTATCATGTTGTATCAAAAAGAATCTCAAACTGTAGAACTATACATAATTAAAAATATAGAGGAGTAAATATAATTTCACGTTTTATATGATGCAGA